TTACAATCCGGCGTGCCTTATGCGTGAACATAGACACGATAATTCACAGTGCGCTGTATAATCCGGTGCGTAATCGTCAATCGGAGCACAGTCAAATACTGTTTGCTTCCCCAGCAGCATCATTGATACAATAATCACTGAATTTAAACATCTGTTGCAAGTCTCGGCTGCCACTAAAATTACTCTTGGCTGCCCCCTAGTGAGTATTACCCTTTACGTCTCTTTCAGCGTCTAAACCGGACAATAGGGAAGAGGGACTCTACGGCCTCTGAGGAAGATTACGACAAGTTAAGTGGTCCAGTCAGTCCACATATCAGACTTCATGGGCCTCAGCAAAGCTACGCGGACCTACAGCGAATGCTAGACTAGGTCCGAAGCATTTATATAAACCAGGGTTTTGTCTTCAGTTGAAAACACACTCAAAAAAGTGCAGTAATCAAGGAGGATATTGCTTTTATTCTCCTTTAGTTGCTTCTTTCCTTGTTCACCAAACACTGTAAAGACTTTGCTGATTTGTGTTATGAGCAACAGAAACTGTATTATGGAGTGGCGAGGGAAGGGTTCTGGTACTGTACACGTAAAAGTCTTAGAATCTGTTTTGTAATCAGATGATTCAGATCCAGACAATCCTGTAGAGCTGTTTGAAGTTGAATCTTTAAACTTATCAACACGTGCCCTTTCATTCTATTTCTTTGGGAATGTAAAGAGCTGCAGGTTCAAACAGTTTGATGCAGTCGATCGCCTCGGGTTGCAGCCATGACACAGCTAGAACCAGCCAAGGCCTTCAGGCAAACGTTCCCCTGAAAACTGCTTGTTTCTCAGACTCAGATTGATTTGATGAGGACCTAAAAAACAACATTTGTGAAAAGGTTCCAGTACAGACAGATCTCTGCGCTGATGTGTGACATGTTTTACATGTTTTAATTGAAGCGTGACCCACTCTGACTGCACTGACAGAACAGTATTTTACCGTAGGGGTTGAGGCAGTTACCTGTCGATTGGTGCAGCCATCGGTTCAGTTTTTATCAAATATTTTCTTGGATCCACGTCAATGTTCTGCAAAGCACAGTGACTAATTTTGTCGACAGAGTCCGGTGGCCCTGAAGAAAAGAAATCTCATTCAAGTTTCCACTTCTAAACGGATATGTCTGTAAGCAGAAAGGCCTATCAAGGGATCCTTTCAACAGTGTTGTCAGACACTTAGATAACAATCTAGGCTGCAAGTGGAAAAAACAAGCTCTTTCTGAGAACATACTCTGGTCTAGGTTAGTGGCCAGAGGGGGATTATGTTGCAACTATTCTTGTCCTGTCAAGCCTGTCAGCCGGAGAGAGGAGGAAACGGCTCTGAACCATTCATAAACCAATTATACATCAGCTGTGTGTATAATAACAGCATGTAACAATAATGAAAGAGGTAATGTGTAAAAATAGGCTCCATGTTCGGCTCAATTAAACTCCCTTGAAGTGCTTTTACAGCGGCGGGTCCAAACTTTGCGAAACACAGAATACACACCGCCTTCTAATACTCTCTGCCGTTTATGAAAGATGAAACATTCCTGTAAATATTTCATCGCCTCGGTTTTTGATGCTCTCTCTCAAAAAAACAGGCATGTCTTCAGTGTTGATACCACACAAACGTATCCCAACAGGTTAAAAGCGCCTCAACATCAATTGCGACATCGGTCGTAAACGACAAAAAGGATTTCGCTCTTTAAGACCAAACTTTGGAGGCAAATTGAGTTTTTACGAGGTGTGAGTGTAAAATCTGAGATAAGAGGCGGGGGAGGGATGGAGTTCAGGGTGGCTGGGTCCCAAATGTGTCAGCAGCGTGACAGCCTCCTAAAAAGTTACTGTGGTTTGAAATCAATGAGCAGGGCCCCTGGTTATGTGCTGGCAGCTGCTCTAACTGGCATCTGACGTCGCTGTTTTGGCTGCTTTCAGAAAGATCAGACATGAGTGGCACCGCTTACAGGACGTGAACCTCGGCTTTAAGTCCACTCAATCACACAAACACCCGCCTTCACAAAGAGTTCGAGTGTACTTCTAATCAACCTGACAGCATATGATTATCGCCAATCTGAACCATCAACTTTTAAATCAATAACGCTGAAGTTATCGCGCACATTTTCCATACGTATCCATCACACTTTATTAAGGCTTCTGGGTGGGCCGACATCGCAGCTGCTAACTGACACTTGAGAGCGTGTCTGAAGCATTGCGAGCAGACGTGTTTGAAACGGACTGCAGTGTGTCACCACGCTTTAAGACTTATTAAGATCGATGAACGGTGCCCGCCCTCCCCTTTTTTCTTTAACATACAGGTTGTCATGACTTATATAGCACACCTGTTTTCACACAGGATTGGTGTTATTAAAGGAACTCTGATCATTTGTAATAATTGCAGCGGACGTCTGTGTTTTTAATCCCGTGCAAATCGACCGTGTCTGTAATTTGTAAAGTAAAACTTCCTGGGAAAATCAACCGCTATAATTTGATTCACATACAGGACTGTAGATATTAACCTGGTCTGATTCTGCAGCTTAGAAATAAAAGGTCTTTTCTGTCCTTTTTCTGGTCTAAAATAGGGAGAATGCATTTGATAGGGTGACTGTATTCTAAATCCCCAAAAAGAGGACACAGAGGCACAGAGTCGGGGTAGTAAATTCTCCGCTCCTACTACTCTTGAGGCGCGAATGACCCAAATTAGGCAGGTGCTGAAAATGTCTCAACTTGAGCAGATATTCACATCGTGATAACTAATCAGCACAAAGGTTGCAAGGTGAGGTATAAAAACAGACAGTTGTTTACTGGTTTCTTAAATGGAGGACGAACAGACACACCGCAAGTAAAATCATTTGTGCTAATGAATTACATGTAGGGTCAATGCAACTACGTGATTAGATGTTCCTGCTATTCTGGTGGCGTGAATAACAGGAATTAGGTAGGAGCTGCAAATGTCTCAACATGAGCGGATATTCGCCTTGCAGTAACTAATCAGCACAAAGGTTGCAAGGTGAGGTATAAAAACAGATGGTTGTTCACTGGTATGTAAAATGGAGGACGAACTGATCGTGTCGGTGTGTGGTTGCCCCGGATTATATGATACCTTTTCTTTCAATTACCAAAACCGGAATTAAAAGGAGCTCGCTTGGAGGCAAGTGAGTGAGGAAGTCGGATTACCTGGTAAATTATAAAAACACTTTTGTCTTTCACTTGATCCTGCTGGTTGAATTGGCAGAGATTACCGTTGAAATTACCGTTGATGCACAAATAAAGAGAGTAAATACTATTCATTCATTACGCAAATAGATGATTTTACTCGCGCTTCATGTGAGAGTTTTTCCCATGAGAGTTTTTTCGGTTGGGTTGAGTTTTTTTACACTCTTCTAACTCAGTTAGTCCACGCTCCACAAACTCAAAACCTTCACACTAACCCACGGTGCAATGCGACGTCGAAATGACATCTATCTAACGTATTTTGTCGGTGATGAGGTACAAATGTGGACGTCATTTCAACTTCTAAAAGAGGTCCAAATAATGACGTCTAAATCTTGGATCTATTTTGCAAATTTTATAATTATTTTCCAAATTCTAAACGTCAGAGCGACATCTAAAATAGGTTTTTTAAAAATTATTTTTCACGTCTCACTGACGTCTAGATGTGGTCTTTGACGGACCAACCCAATACTGACTTGATCTGCACGTCTCTTTGACATCCGATGTTTGGTGGGAAACCCTGAACATTTCAAAGTTTCTATAAACTCCCCCGGAAAAACCCAGACAGCCCCCCAAAAAGAGGACATGTCCGGGTAAAGGAGGGCGTATGGTCAATCTAGCCTTGGGCGTCCTAATTTCGTGGAGATGCATTTGTAGACGAGCGAGCAGAGGTGCATATTTTTTATTTTGTAAGGAGGTTGTTTATCTTTGTGATGCTAATCTGCACATCTTTTTTTTGCACATCTGCAAAACACAAAATAATGTAGATGAATTTTTGGAAACAAGCCAACATCGAAGATTTAAAGTCAAATTCATCACGATCAAGATTTACTAATCCGTGTTTACGTTCTCGCTTTTATCACGTCCCGTACAATACATTTTTTAAAGAGTATAAACAATCCCAATTACATGCTAGCTTAAAAACATCATTCATTATTCACGTTGTGGCAGTGTCTGGGCCCCGTGCCACGCAGAGCAGGTCATGCAAGTCAGATTAAAATGACTGTTTTGAGTTTTAACATGCCTTCCTCATCTGTAATCGGTTTGAAATGCAGAGCGTCTACAGAAGAGTGTAACCGCAGCAATCAGGACCGGGGTTTTCCTCTTACACAGCTCTCTACAAAGCAATCAAAGGTTCGTGTAAATGTTGAACGATTTGTTCGAAACAAGTCATCTGTCACCTCTGATGTGGAGACACTTGAACCGCAACTCCACAACTGTCGACGTACTTGCCAAAACAGCCATCTTGAAACTTGATCTATTGAAAAAGAAATCTTTTTTTTTCTCAGATCTCTTAAAGAGGTCAAGGTTGTCTCTAAAGGTGAGGGTAGTCTGTCTCTGTGAATGACAGGTCTCACGTAAACAGGGCGCCGGCGCTCAGAGGGAGATTAAGAGAGTTTGATGAAAACAGCTGTGTCTGGGAAATATCACGGGTGGTGTTAAATCGCTTCATTCGACCTCCAGACGCGTGTGAGGCGCTTGTTTCGAGGTCACCGTGGCAGCTTCATGTTTTTTACATCGCTCTTCATGTTATTCTAATCCTGTCTGAGCCACTGACTATAATCGAATGATTGGCCCCTTAATGTCCAGGTATTTTATTCAGAAAATATACACTCCTAACATCCTCCCAACTGTTGAGTTTGGTGTTTATTTAAAAAGCAGGGGGAAGAATTCGAGCCCTGTTGGCAGAATGTAGTTTGACTTGCAGATGTATATATATAGGCCCTTTTTTATAGACACTTAACTCCAATTAACCTTCATTCTCCTATTTGCCCATAATCACATTATCCTCTGGTATTCAGCTCTATTTTTCTTTCATCCAAGAGAGCCCGTGTCCTCTTGCTACAAGCCCCGAGAACGGACAGGCAGGCGAGGAACAAGCTTCCCCTTGTGCTGGGTCTCCCAGTTGGCTGGAGAACCCGTCTACAGACTTCTCTCTCTCTCTCTCTCTCTTTTTTCTTTGTCGATCTCGCTCTCTTAACCCTGGAGGCTTTCTCAAAGCCGTCCTCACGCTCCGTCTTTAACCCTCTCCTTCTGCCCCCTCCATGCATATCTGAGCCCTGCCCTCGGGCCTTGTCCGGGCCCCAGACAACGTGTGATTCATGCTCGGGTTTGCTGCTGCGGTCAGCTGACTCGGTGTGCTGTAGGTTCAGGCTCGTTGCCAGGACGCGGATCGATTTCAGCGTCCTGTAAGCGAACAGTTAAATCACAGACTATGTGATGAAATCCCTCTGAATTTTCTTTATTTAATTTTTAATATATTCAGACGTAGTAAATAATTCTAATTGCCAAAACAATGAATCATATTCCTGCTACTCAACGTCTCCTGGTCTGTTCCAGCTCCAGGTTCGACTCGGTGCCTCTTTCTTCCCCCTTCACCGCACAAAAACACATTCCAGCTGTCCAATACTTTCATTCTCGTACTTCCGTATGAAACCGTTCTTGACTGCCTGCCTGTCCCCTAAAGCAGATATACTGTAAGTGTAAGTGCTTTCTTTCAACACTCGTACCCCAACGCTCCGAGAAGGTGCATGTTGAGCTGTCACCCGCCTGACACTTCTGTTACATGGAGACCAGAAGTCTGAATTACGGTGCATGAAATTTGCAAAGATTTGACACAAACCCAACGCTCACGCTCTCCACTTCAGGTATTATAGAAAAGAAAACTGCTGCTCTGCTACATTTATTTGACAGCTAACGGCTGGAGATGGAATCTACATCTCTGGTTCTCTTTTTCCTATTTAATCAATTTTGTGGTCTATTAAACATCCCAGAATGGAGAAAAAACGTCTCCTTAAATTAACCAGATGCCGCAATTATGTCTTTAAAAGTCTCGGTAAGTCTGACCAACAACCCAAAACCTCTCAGAGGATATTTATTCGAAATCACGTCTCGTAGAAATTCTTTACATTTTACTCAAAAGTATGAAAAGTGGTTCCAATCCAGCTGAGAGAAATTCCGCCTTAAATTGATCCTCTGCCAAAGGTACGAAACTACATCTGTGTGCATTATCATAAACCAGTGCTTTAATGCTGTTTTGTTAAATGAGGATATGTGAAATTTGGTCTGAAAGCACCTGAAATAGAGGAGATATAAAATTCTTAAAGGTTTGGGCAGAAGAAGAATCTGCAAGTAAAAAGTAAATAATGAAAAAAGTCCGACCTTCAGAGTATTTGGACAAAAGTTATGTGTTTATAAAAGCTGTCTAGAAGTTTAAATAAGCCAGAAGTCCTTCAGACCATTCAACCACATGAGTTGTCTGTTACTAGCTTGCTTACAACCAACAGTAGTGATTTTCCTGAGTTGGTCTTCCTGCTGATGGAGTAGAAATAGTCTCAGATCAGTTAGGAACCCGGGTTTCTTGGAAGGTTTGTGTCTGTAGACTTTAGTTTAAAGTTCAAACAGAGATACACTTCCCTTTGAAAGGTAAAAAATTAGGAAAATAGAGGTGAGTTGATGTCAAGATGTGTGCAAGACAATGGCACCACCAGGACAGTAACGGTAACTTTATAAAGCTCCTAAACTGACAACAAGCTCCGAACTTTGGTAATCCAGGTGCAGCCTGACAGACCAATCAATGGAAAGCTTAATTTTGAATCATCATCAGCTTCATGATCTCTAAACCAGGAAGGATGAAACACCACCCATCTACACTATTAGGGGTGTCACGATTTCGATTTTCTATTGAAATTGATCAAAAGTACGTCATGGTCTCAAAAATCAAAATCAAAGAGAGGATCGACGATCCCCTCCCTCCACATCAGGGAGGTGTGCAAAGCGGAAGCAAAGACAACGCCGCACATTGTAGCCGACGCGAGCCCCTGTGAGCTCTCATTTTTGTTGTTCATTTTCTCATTATGTTTGTTATTGTTGTTTTCACTTCACTGGTAACAAGATCGTTAAATAATTATTGAAATTTGACCATTCCCACTGAGCATTTTTTGGTCTAAAATAGGTCGAATAGATGTCTAAATGTAGCCTAGACGACTGGTCTAAAATCAGGCTACCACAGGTCTAAAATGAAAGATTTTTAGACGTCTAAATTTAGACCAAGTTTAGACCGAGTCTAAATCTGGGCTATATCTATACTACACTGTATTTTGCTCAACCGCTACCAGTATTTGGAGTACTAACTACATTTAAGTACTTGGAGATCAGTTGGATGAATAGTTATCGAATAATGGGTTTAGGTGCAACATCAAAATTCCGTCTAAAAATATATAGAATCTAAACGTTGAAATTAGGTCTAAAAAAACAAGACGTCCAATAGCCGTCTGTTGCTCAGTGGGTTAGTGCCTAATGTGATACATTACACAAGAACAATGGAAATTTTGAAATAAGATTTACTGTACAAAATGTAATGAATAAAACCAATGATCGTAGAGTAGAGTAGTCTAAAAATGGCAGAGGCTTCTTTGCTGTAAGAAAAAGAATCAAGAATCAAATCGAATCGAATCGGGACCCTAAAATCGAACATGAAATCGAATCGAGGATTTGTAGAATCGTGACACTCCTAGGTCCTATCAGCTCGGTTCAAGACCTGCGAAATCATCGTCATCAAGCTGAAAACCTTGAATCACCTTCATTAAAAAGTTCGTCATTAGGATGTATAAGTGTAGATCTCAGCGTCACTGCAGCTGACTGTAAAAGTACAAACAGTTCAGTCTGTCCTCAACAATTTGGAAACATATCCGTTCCTTTTGTGTGTCTACGAGGAGAAACGAACAGGCCGTCCAAAAAAACTGAATCACTATGAATGTAATTAAATGTTGGAGGTTATGCCAGTGAGGTTGTGCCTTTCTATTGTAATGGAGGAAATGTTTACACATTAATCACTTATTGGCAGCTGTGGTGTAAGGACTTGGCATGCTGGTGGTGCATTTGTTACTAAAACAGCTTTTTAAATAAAGTGCATTCAGGGCAGCTTTCCCTGGCTTTACAGAGAGAATAAAAAAAAAAAATCTTTGGATCAGAGAGATGTCATTATTTCCAAAGAAGCATGCTGTGTTTACCTGCAAGGAAAACGCTAGAGCACTTCACACCCATTTAAATAATGAGAGCATCGCAAAAAGATGTTAGCGATAATTACTGTTTCACCTCAGACACCGTTCGAGTTATCGCTGGAAACAGTCACAATTATTTTAAATTGCTTTCTGCTGGAAAAAAAAGAAAAGCGGGAGGCAGATCTCGGGGTGTAAACCGGCCTTCGCACCGTTCAGACTTTTTAAAACACCTGAGAGGAAACGCTCGCGCACTCTTCTATTATCATTTTTTTAATAACGTGTACCCAACCTTTTACTTTGAGTCTCCTGGGGGCCACCCATTAAAACTATCAGCGTGTTTAAAATCGTTTCCTTTGGAGGGATTTGTCACCCCAAAGGTTGACAAGACAAGTGCAGGTCAGGGAGAGAGGCACGGGCGAACAACAGGCAGTGAACTAGAAAGAAACATGAATAATGCATGGACCAGGGGTTTTATTTAATGGCGCGATTAAAACTTTTAAAAGTTGATCTTTGCTTTCAGCTGAAAAAGGCTTTTTTTTTTTTTTTCCAAACTCGGCACATCAATCCTCCAGACTCGGCTTGTGAGAAACACTGATTGGTTTAATTATGTTTGCGGTGATTAAGCGTCTTAATGGTACTCATCACAACATGAGACATGAATCACAATGATTTGAAAGATGCAGCATTTGGAGAAGATTGTTTTTTCTGGAAGTTTTCTCGCACACAAAGACGGACAGACACACACACTGGGAGACAATTTAAAGGGGGGACACTTACCGTCTTTGGACACTTGGTGGTCATGGCAGGGTCAGGGAGGAACAGAGGCGCAGAGAGAATACAGAAGGCGACCTCACGGCATTGCACTCACATCCCGGCTCACAGCTCCCAGACACGAGGACGAGACCGAAGGGGCTCGTTAACTTGAAAGTGCGGATGGAGGGTGGCGGGCTCGCTGGAGTGTGTCAAGAGGAAACTGCAGGCACCAGTCAGTCAGGCCACGGAGAGACGGCGAGAGGGCGAGAGCGAGACGAGACAAAAAGGAGAGAGAATTCAAAGACGCCAGCAGTTTCTTCTCCCTCTTCCTCCTCTCTTTCTGTGGTGTAACTTAACCCCCGAAGAGCCCCGGTCGAGCAGACACACAGAACCAGTTCCAGACCTGTCCTCTACTAACGCTGCTGCCTCTCCCCTTCTTCTCCCTCTCTCCTTTTTCCTCTCCTCTCTCTGGTTTTTGGTATCATTTAACTCTCGAATCCGCGGCCCGGCGATGAGCTCACCGCCGGCTCGGGTTTCAGCGCCTTTACTGGAATGCGAGGGGCAGTCGCACGGAGTGGCAGAGGTGCTGGGGAGGTCAAAGGCTACCGGGCTAGTGTGTAGGAACAGAGAGGAGAAGGGTGTCTGTCATCTGAGGGGAGTTCCACCAGGAGGGATATCTGAGGGGGGCCCGGAGTGCCGAGAACAAAACAGGAGTCAGAGAGGTCAGGGGTCGAGGAAGTCGCGAGGCCGGGCGAGTCTGACAGCTCTGGAGGCGATGGACTTGAAGACACTGAGAACATTTACACACTCAGATACACACTCACACACACTCAACCTCGTCTAAGTGCTAGATTTACTGCTCACTTAGAAACGAGGGTGTTTTCCTCCGGGGGAGAAACTCTTTTTTTTATTTCTGCTGTTGACACATTTCAGCCGTCTTAGGTCAGAGATATGAGTAATTCCATTTTAGCTGTAAAACCAAAAAGGGTGACCGTGATCAGAGGAATCATAATTAAACTTTTTATTCGCACAGCCTGCGGACAATGTTACCAAGGTGTTACACAAACATGAGAGGCAAAAACAATTACAGTACAACTTGGAAAAAAGTAATAAAAAATACCCCAGAGGAAAATATATTTTTACGTAGGTCAGAATAAACGTTAAATAATCTACAATTCAAGGAAATTAGTGAAGTCAGATTGATGCTGTAACGCTCATGCAGCTGCCCAAAGTAAATAAAAAATCTGAATTAATTTGACGACTTGGAAGCGAACCTGCCAACATTTGGGATATAAAATTTGGGAGGTTTTTGCTGCGTGTGTCAGGCAGGTTTTGGGGTTACCTTGTATGGTGGATACTTATACTTATCCAAGTAAGTATAAGTGAAGCTACACACGTTTTTGTTTTATTTTAACAATAACAAACGGTAATAATAAAATAATAGCTACGATATGCCTTGAACTTATTCAGTCCACTAATTTTGGTGTTAAACGCTTCACTCCGAGACGGTGCGAGACTATCAACGTAAATGTTATATCTCGCGTTTGTAAGTGTTCATTTCGCAACAAGCACTGCTTAAATATAGTTTACAGTTTAAACCGATCTGAATCATCCCAAATTGTAAAGTAAAGGTATCGATCCAGTGACTGTGAGGCTCAGCAGAAACACAGGACAACCTTCAGTTGTCTGGAAACCTGGATAATCGGATTCATGAATGAACGTGGACCATCAAACTACAGGAGATTCCCGGGAGAAATGACAATACAGGAGGTGGGCA